CAAACTACATAAAATTCTATATGCTGCACATTGGGCCAAATGTGTCACATCAACTTTTCATTCTTCACAATAATCTGATGCTGTAGGTATTAGCATTATCCTTGATTTACAGATGATGCAACTGAGGCAGAGAAAGATTGAGAAATTTGCCCCAGGGTGCCCACCTATTAAGTGGCAGAGAACCAAGAGTCTTGACTCTGAAATCCATACTATTTACACTCAGTAGTACACTACTTATTACTGGAGTGTAGATCAAAGGGTATTTGGTTCCAGATACTGCTTCACCCCTTGGGCAAAGTACTTAACCTTGTTGAGCAGTTTGTCATTGGTAAATAAGGGCAACAACAGCTGTTCAGCCTTCTCCATAGTCTGAGGGATGCTAAAAGAGTTAATTTATGCACAAATATAGCATAAAAACTACAGGGCATTATGTAAATATACGATGTTGTTAATTTGAGCCAAAGCACCATGTACTTTTAATTCTTTCAAATGGTTTATGAACTTAAATATAAGTTCAATAGTAAATAAATAATTTTAACATTCTTAAGCAAAAATGTAGGGGTCTCTTTATTTTTTTGAGACAGAGTCTCACTATGTCACCCTGGGTAGAGAGCTGTGGTGTCTCAGCTCACAGCAACCTCAAACTCTGGGCTTAAGTGATTCTCTTGCTTCAGCCTCCAGAGCAGCTGGGACTATAGGCACCTGCCACAACGCCCAACTATTTTATTTATTTTTTTTTTTTTTGGTTGCAGTTGTCATCAAGCAAAAACATCAGTGGCTGCCAGCAGTTTGGGGGAAGGGAGAGAGGGGTAAACAGGTAGAACACAAGGAATTTATGAGGCAGTGAAACTACTCTGTATAGGGCCAGGCGTCCTAACTCATGTTTGTAATCCCAGCACTTCAGGAGGCTGACGTGGGTGGATTGCCTGAGCTCCAAGGTTCAAGACCAGCCTGAGTAAGAGCAAGACCCCATCTCTAAAAATAGCCAGACACTGTGGCAAGTACCTGCAGTCCCAGCTACCTTGAAGGCTGAGGCAAAAGAATTGCTTGTACCCAAGAGTTTGAGGTTGCTGTGAGCTATGACCCACAGCATTCTACCAAGGGCAAAAGTGAGACGCCGTCTCAAAAAAAAAAAAAAAAAGAAAGAAACTACTCTGCACAATACTGCAGTGGCAGATACATATCATTACACAATTGTCAAATCCCTAGAATGCACAGAACCAAAGTGAATCCTAATACAAACTCTGGAGTCGGTAATAAAATCAGTTTTGAGACAGGTCCCTTAGCTCATTGGGTAGCACACCTACCACATATACCCAGGCTGGCAGGTTTAGGTTCAAACCAGGCCTGGGCCAGCTAAAACAATAATGACAACTACAACCAAAAAAAAAAAAAAGCCGGGCGTTGTGGCAGGTGCCCATAGTCCCAGCTACTCGGGATGCTGACAGGCACTCTTCTTTTAATTCCTTCTATACTTTCAAAACACTCAATTCATTAAGTATCATTTCTGCTTCCCACAATAAAAAAAAAAAAAAAAAAGCATAGAGGACAAGTTAGAATTAAGGAATAATTTAAGTCAGTGACCCAGAGAAAATTAAAAAATTAACAGTCATAAGGAAGTAACTTTAAAATGATTCTAATTTTTGTTGTGAAGAGACAGTGTGCTTTTATGTTGCCCAGGCTGGCCTCAAATTCCTGGGCTCAAAGGATCCTACTGCCCGGGACTCTCAAGTAACTGAGACTATAGGCGCATGCCACCAGGGAAGGCTTAAAAATGACTTTTGCAGGCTCGGTGCCTACAGCTCAACCGGCTAAGGCGCCAGCCACGTACACCTAAGGTGGCAGGTTCGAATCCCCAGCCCGGACCCGCCAAACAACAATGACGGCTGCAACCAA